TTTTTGCTCTTAGAGATTGAATAAACACCATAGGAATATAAACAAATAAAGATTTTTCAATACTTATGATTTGATTTGACATGAAATACAATTTCAATATATTTTATCAACAATAAATGTTAATTATTACATTTTTTAATTTCTTATCTTATTATCATTATTAATTTTGTAAAATTTCAATTACTTAATAAAATTTTTGACAATAATGTAGCTTCAAAAGAAAAAAAAGAAAAAAATCTAAAAGAACTTTAAATTTATGTATTATCCCTATTTCTGTCCATCTTCCAGCGGTTATCAATTTATTTACCTTTGGTTTCAAGTCATATCACAACATCCTCTAAAAACATGTGTAATGCAGAAATTTATTTAGGATAATAAATAAATGAAAAGTAAAGTAAAATTCATTTAGTTTTAAAAATGGTTTCCTGAAAAGTTTATTGATTATATTTACATTTTTTGACTTCTCCCACAAAGCTATAAATTGCATCAATATTATTATTTTTTATTCAGTTAAGTACGTTTTTCACTTAAATCGAAATAAAGACGAAAAAGACTCAGTCACTTATACCAGATGAAGGAAAAGTAAGGACAACTTTGCTGCATTTTTCAAACAATTTAAAATCTAACAGTGTTTCTCAATATTTAAAAAAAATTAAAGTAGTTTAAAGTAATTAAATAATAGCCAAATATGTTATTATTTATTAAATTCATGAATAGATGTAAAATAAATGTTTTGTTACATAAATGAGATGCTCCCTTTATACAAATCCTGTGAGTCTTAGTTAGCTTTTGTAAAAGTGAGTTATGTCTGAATTCAATTAAATTGTTTCAGATATATTATAATGCTTAGATTGTTCTTCAACATTGTAAATGTTGTACTCTATAAACAACAATAAACTTTCCTTGCGTTGCAATACTTTCATCAAAATATGTCAGTTTTTCACGCAGCAAAACATGGCCTTCTAAGCTGCCCCCTTCTATCCTTGTATCATTTGTATTGAATTTTTTATAAACTTGAATTTTTTCTTCTGTCCGTTTTGGGTTAGGCGCGAAAATGAAATGAAGCGCAAGTCAGGTGAGCCCATTGCTTTCCCGCAGCAGCCCCAACCCCGACTAAAGTTCATCCCCACTTTCGGCTTCATAGCTAAACAGCTAAACGTTGACCCTATCTGCTACCCTGCTTTTCATTCGCTGACTGTTTGCGTTGGCGCTGCTGTTTCGTGTTTCTATTTGCATATATTTTTGCTATTCGCTTAGTGTTTTGACAGTCATGACGGTAATATGGAGGCAGGGAGATAGCCATAGATATCTGGCATTAGACCACAGTAGGCTAAAGACTGTCGATTGCTACTATGGTGCCGCATTTGCATTTCGAAAAACGGGTTTGCAGTTTAGTTAGCTTTGCATTAGCAATGAATGGTTTTGGGCTAGTAGGGTGTGGGTGAAAGTGAGAGGCCTTCTCTGGCCAGATGAGATGAAATGAGATAATGTGAATGCAGCTGTTCAGAGACAACAACAACAACAACAACAACAGCAACTTAACCCACCTTGGCCATAGACAAGCCACAATTAGAGCAAAAGCAACAAACTTGAAATGGCCAATAAGTTTGGCATATTGTTGTTGTTACTGCCATTGTTTTGCCCACCATTTTGTGTGACTGACTGACTGACTGCCTGACTGACTGAGTGAGTGAGTGAGTGACATGTCCTAATTCAGAAAGCGCGCGCAGACTTTTACCGGCATTTCAATTAACCCAATTAATGGACGACGGGACCTAATTAAATTTTGAAATCATGCTGCACACTGCCCGCACATGCACACGCATACGCACACCCACTCACACACACACACACACACCCAAACACTTCTATGTATATCAGCTGTATATAAAGAGACGCCGCCAGTCAGCTGTTAGCCGTGCTTTGAAAGTAGTGCGTTTGAGAGAGATGGCAAGCTTTTTAGCGGGGCTGGGAGACGTCTGTTGGCTAACTAAGCGCTGAGACGCCGACTCAGCTATGAATGAGTGGCTGGCTGCTGGCTGGCTGGCTGCCTCATGATGACCTTGATTACAACATGACGGGCGGAAGCAGCGGCAAATAAAAATGGCAAAAAATAATGGCAACAGGGGAGCTGGCGAGGCAACATGATGCCATCGCAAAGAAGTGGCAACCAACGATGCCAGACTGCCGCCATTTACAACAAATCAACAGCAGCAGCAGCGGCAGCGGCAACTGGGTGTGAAGTCAACGAACTGGTAAAGCGGCAACAACACTAACAGTGGGGGCAACCGCAACAGCGCAACTTACCAATTCTGAACGTACCACAAAAAGAAGCAGCAACAAAACCAAGACCAAAAAAAAAAAAAAAAAAAAAAAAAAAAACGAAAACCAACCAAAACCCAGTCACGAACATTCACGACAGCTACCAGCTTATAGTGGGTGGTCGGCCACATATACAACGTGTGGCAACAACAACAACAACAACAATAACACTGAGACGGTGCCTGCACATGTCGGTGGCATCATTAAAATTGCACTCGCTTTGAAAAGCAGGGGCAATACCAAAGCCGCAGCCGAACAGACAAAACCCATACGAGCAACGAGACAAAATCAAAAGATCAATAATTATTATGATGTAGCTACAAGACAGCGACGGCAAGGATGCCAACAACAACTGCAATAGCAACAGCAACAACAACAGCACAGCATTACGACAACTTGAAGGCAAGCCGCAGCCAAGTCAGCACAAGGTAAGACGGCAATTGTATGCTCCTTGAGAATATCTCCGACGAACGCTGTTGCTGCTGCCAAAAGTTCTATTCGACAAGCGCATTACACAGCCAACAACGACAACAGCAACAACAACAGCAGCAACATGGAACAGCCCACAAAACTGATGCAACTTTTGGTTCGTCGCCAGAGCACCGATAGCGGAGCGACGCGACGCGACGCATCGGGGAGCTGGAGTTGAGTTGGGCATTTGCTTACAAGTGCAACCATTTTGTAGTACAAACTTCGAAAACCAAAAGCGAAATTGGCAAAACAAAGCACAGCATCAGCATCAGCACAGAACAAAATTTATATACGTACATATAAAATAAAAGCGAGGAGATTTCAATTTGAACGCCACCATTTGCAGAAGGAGCAACACACTCAGAGAAAATGGGTTCTTGAAGCCCAAATCACTGCATTACATTAATTTGAAATAAATTCTTATCCATCCAAGCAGATTCGAAATGTTTAGTTTCGTAAAGAAAACTTTAAGAGTCTTCAATGATCGTAAGTTATTCTTCAAAAATGTGTCACAAATATTGACAATACTTGTATGTTTATATTTGTATTCATTTATTGTTGAAAACAATGAACCTAAATTTTGAATGTTAATATGTTTATATATAGTATATATATAATTTTTTAAAATGCGACAAATACACAAAATGTATAATCTAAATTTATCTTTCTCTGAAGATATTTAAAAAAACACGAATTAAAAATGTAGAGAAAATAAATCTCCAAGTATTTTAAAGAACCTTTGAAGTTCATTTTATATTTTTAACCGCTCGGGAACATATGTATTTATGTGTCAAAAATTGTGCTTTTTATATTACAAATGACTTCGAGATATTGATGTCAACATTAAGCTAAATGCCGGAAAAAAGAAGACACTAAAAATGCTATGTTGGTGATAAAGATTTCTTATCTTAAATCTTAAATCGATATTTATTTAGAGGCCCGAAGCACAGCCGCTTTTTAAGTTGGGGGGCTGTTGTAGTGTCGTTAGTCCTTAGAGAATTAATTCCATAGCTTGATTCCTTTTAGAGCCTTTTCGTTTTTTATAAATTATATCCAATGTATGTTCGAATCCTTGCATTCCAGGTAAAACTGATACTTGGAAAATAATTGGTGCTAAAGCTTTCCTTGCCAACAATGTTGTGTTTGTTTCTGGATATAGAGGTGACAGCTTCAAACGAATCGATCAATTGTGGTTCTGTTTTTTCCTGAACACCACATTTTCTCTGAGTGAAGCAACAGCGCTGACGACGACAATGACGACGCCTGTGTGGACATCAAATGAATGCATATGTGGATATCAAACCGGGCGCCAGCTGCTTTCGAACCACCGCTGTGGCTGCTCTAAGAGGGGAGCCGCCGCCGGCTGGACGACATGCGCAGTGGCGCCAACCGATTGGCCCGCTTGGACGCCATTTAGAAAAAGCAAGGCGCAGCAAGTGCGAGCAGTGTAGCCAAACACCTGTTCTGCATTCGAACTTCCAGATGAGAAGTGTGTGTGTGTGTGTGTGTGTGTTTGTGTGGTGGTGTGGTGGTGTGGTGGTGTGGTGGTGGTGAACCAAGACGACAAACCGGTTGCACCACTTGCAACGGCCGTGGCAGAGCGCCAGCGATTGTGCGTCGACCGAGGCAGGCAGGCAAGCAGGCAGGAACCTTTAAAGTCTAGCCAAGCTCCTCTAACACAGTGCGGGCCTGCGGAATGGCCAAGCAGTGCAGAGATATGTTCGAAACGCAGCCACAGCCGTGTGGACTATGGGTGAGTGGTGGTGGGGTGGTGGCTGCGGCAGCACGGCGGCAACGTTGCTGATTCTTACTGCCAGACGAGCTAGCGAGCAAACGAGCGACCGGTTTAGTCGTTCAGCAGTCTTAGCGTTGTCAGCATCGTGAGTGTCGCGTCCGTCGCGTTGCGCTCGTTACAGCAACAACAACAACAAGAGTATTCACATAAAATAAAGCAACAACAACAGCGAAAACACCCACCACGTTCACGTTGTCGTCGTTGTCGTTGTCATCGTCATCGTGGTTGTCGCTGTCGTCGTCAGAGCTCGTGGTTGTCGTCGTCGCCGTGCCGTCGCCTTTGGATACGATATATGTATAGTATATGCGATAGATATACAGCGGCATTTTTACCTGTAGGGCAAAATTTTAGCGCGTGTGTATTTTGCGACAACAGCAACAAAAAGTGGGCAAAAGTAATCTTTGATTGCCAAAACTGTCAAGTGCCTTAAAGCAGCAACAACAACAGCAACCGCAACAACCAAATAACAACCAAACAACAGCAACAGCAGCAACAACAACTACAACATCAAATCAACATTTTGCTCAAAACATCAGAAAAAAAAATATATATATATATACGACAAATATAAACAAACAAAACAAACAACAAAAACAAATCTGCATGTGTCCTCAATCGAGAAAGGCGCGTTTTTGATTTTAGTTTTTTCCTGAAATTACGGTTTCAAACATCATTTCTTCGAGTGTTCGTGGCGCCGGTTTTTAAGCCAAATATATGGTAATGGCAGAGATTGGTGGCCATTTGGCTCACCAGCTACCATTGCACAATCACAATCAAACTGGATTACAGCCATCGCTGGTGATGAATCATCACCTGGATTTGGATTGTCATGGGCATGATGTGATAAGTAAGTACAAAAGCCGTCGGTAGTCGTTAGTTGCCGAAAAAACCAGTTTCTGTTTCCAATTAACAAATTTGCACAAAAAGCAATCCATCCAGAACATATAGTACGAGTATGGAGTATGGCTTAGTCAACTCTTCCAGCAATTACTCCATTACTCAGAAAATAGTTAAATGCAGGTTTGAAAAAAGTATACTCACACACACACACACTTTAACATTATCAACATATCATTTGCTCTAATAAAGCTATTTAGCCAAGTTAATGACTTATTTACGACGGAAAGCTGAAAGCGCCAGCAAACAAAACAAAGCCAATTTGCAAATAAAACTGCTTCCAAAAAACAAACTGTTAAAAAATTAATAGCAGCGAACGCATTCGCTGAACTGTAATAGACACGATCCGGCTAGAGAGCCTATAATGTCGAGATACTTTAGCGTTTTTTGTTTGTTTGACATTAAAAGCTTATCAAATGGCATTAACCTTGTTTACATTTTTATATTTCGATTAGTGGAACAACTATTTTTAATTTCTTCTTTGTATAAAACAAATCAGTGCACTGCATAAATAAATATATTTTGGTAGACAGGTATATCACTAGATAGGTGGATAGAGGGGGGTGGATTGGGGAATGGATGTATAGAAAACATAGTGATATAATAAGAATAATATGAATAGTAATGTCAAATTTCTTAAAACTAGTTGAAAATATCATTACAAATCTGAGCAAAAATGTTTCATTAAAGGATCTATTTCGTTTAGTGCCAAAGAAGCCTGTTTGATTCTTATTGTTTGGCTACCACCTCATAAGAAAAGAAAAACAAACAATGTATTTGCTCAATTGTGCAATCAATAAATATATTGTAAGCACCTTTTAAATATTAAACATATCTGGTAAATTAAAAATGCAATACAATATTTGTATTTCTCTGGCCATTGGAAATCTGGCTATTGCTTGCTTCTTTCGAAGAGATCATCGTAATCTAAAAAAAACTATTGATTTCATAATATAAAAGTGATGATTGGTTGTACATTTACAAAGTAGGGGGGACGATCCTTATCCCTCATATAACATCCCCAAATCAAGTTCATCACAATATCTATGTATACTTGTATATTTCAATTACTATTGAAATGGTTCTCATCTTTTGTATATTAATACTATAAATACTGTAAGTTTTGGACATAATTTGACGAAGGAGAACCTACTAGAAAATAGGAGGATATTCGAGTATATTGTACAAAATAAAGACAATTTCTTTATTAGATATGCACGAGTATTAAGAATACAAGTTCGTTTCATAATGATTAGCTTAGTTATTTACAAAGAAGTAGCAGCCTGTGTTGGATAGCTATTAAGCCATCTTATTTTCAATTTAAATTGCAGATATGAATATATTTTTTTAACATTTTATATACTTTCTAGCCCTAAAACACTTTCGTTATTCTAAATTCGACGCCACTCTTATACCATATTTTAATACTAATAGGCTTGGCCTATTTATGAGTTCGAACCCTAAGTCTAACCATAACATACACTTCAAGTATCTGTGAATTACGTGTGACATCTTTATCTTTATATATTCGATTGATTTCTTCAATCATTGCAGCATAGAAAGTACAATTTAGAAACATTTTAAGTGCTTTTCGTCTAGTTTTAGGAGTTCAACAGTTCAAGGATTCTTCCTTGCTATAGTCCACGATGCTGATGTCTTTTACCTGCATTTATCAATTTTATTATTATAAATCCATGATTATTGTCGCCGCATTAGCTGATTGTGATTTTAATTTCAATTCTGCTTTTTCCGACTTTTTGCGCGCTCTCTGCACTTTTGGCGGCGTTAGCTTTTGTGAGTTATTGCTGAATTTCAGTTAAAGTATCTTTGCCTTCGGTCAGTTAATTAACGGTTGAATGACATTTTAATGTGTGCGGAGTGCGAAGCAATTAAAAATCGTTGGAGCGCAAGCAAGTACGCTACAAATACTATACTATATGTACGATTATATACGATTATATTTAGAATGCGATTTGTCAAATGCATAAACGGTTTCGCTTGACAAATTTGCCAGGGAAATTGTTGGCGATGTGCATTTCTAAATTGTCTCATGAATTTTTAAACAGACATGCAAAAATGCATAAACCAGAAGTGTCATTAAAAAATGTGCGCAAAAATATTGAAATTTTATTTAAATTTTATTTGACGCTAAATTGTGACAAATGTTGGCTGTCAAATTTGTAACCAAACAAAAGACCGCAAAAGCAAAGCAGAACAAAACGAATGGAATGAAAAAAAAAAAAACAAAAACTGGGAAAATGTTGTGCCAAAAAAGTGAGAAATATATACAAAAATGCTATTTGTATGCATATGTATAAAAATCATAATCACAAACACGTTGTTGTAAACGCGTTGAATTATAAATGACCCAAAAACACCAGCAAATAAAAAACAGAAACGAGCATAGATACACAGATATGGATGTAGATACAAATGTATCTGGCAGCTGTGCGCTGCTTTAACTATTTGGCTTTAATTCTAATTAGTTTTAGTGCGCGCAAGCATACGACATACCCGTGCACATGAAATATTTAATGCACAAATTTTAATTTGAAAACTTTTGCGCAAAGTTTTAAGTTTGTGTACGTTGTGTGCTTTAAATGGGCGTTTGGGGGGCGTGGCAGCAGTGTGTGTAGTGCCAACTAAATACGAAAAACTTATGGCGAGTTCAGTTGATATTTGAAATGAAAACAAAAAATTTTGTGAGTGCCCCACTCCCCACTCCCCCTTCCCACAACACACTGCCATCCTCTTTGTTCATCTCAGTGCCTCACTCGTCAGTTGACAGACTGTGCGAGTGACCGTCGCTTTGTTTGTTTGTTGATTTTGTGCGCTGTAAACATTTTAATGAGTTTTTCATGTCCCAGGCACCGCCTCAAGCCCCCGACAAGTCAACTATACATACATATATACGAGTATATACATATACGAGTATATCGTATGTAGGCCCACACATGCGCCCGAACACTGAGCAACGCGACATGTCGTCGCTAACTTCTCAAGTAGTCGTTAAATTAATTAAATATAGTAGAAAAGAAATATACAAAAGACTCCAAGTTGAGTTTTGTTTACATAAGCGAGCAAAGTCGGCGGCCAAAGTGACAGTTTTAGTGCAAAACAGTAACAACAACAACAGCGAACAGATTGAAATCGTTGCCTACTTCTGGGCGCTACATAAACTGTTGTTTCTTGTTGTTTTTGCTGTTGTTGTTGCTGCAGATATTTATGTATTTGGCAGGCGCAACTTTTTTTTGGCTAATAAAATTGTAACCATTTTATGTTAGTCCGTTTGTCCGATAGTTTTTGATAGCGCCTCATAAAAAAATTGACAATTATTTGCGGCCATAAAAATCAAAACGATTTCCATTTTATAGTTAGCCAATTAGCTCAGAAATTTGCATAAAGCCTATGCAGTGTGTGTGTGCGTGTATGTTGTGTGGGCCGCAGTCTGTGTGGTCACGCTTCAGCTAAACTATAACAAATTGCTCGCCATAATTAAATTAATATTAATTACACTTAAATGCTAAAAAATTTCATTAATCGTATGCTAAATAAAATTTGTGAATTGTGGAAGTAGCGTCGTCAAGTTGATGCGAATTAAAATGGAGGAGCAAAAACAAAGCTAATTGTGAAAAATATATTGAAATGTGTGAGGACGAAAAAAATTTAAATATAGTTCAAAATATAATTTGTGATGTGACAATTATGGTTGCGTGACAATTATGGCTAATGCTGGCCATATTGAGGGGAAGAGCCGAATTAGTGAACGAACGATGATAACGCTTAAGAATGATTAATTGCTCGTGCGTTACGCAGTTAGAAAGTCAAATTAATTAGCATATATAGAGTCACATAATGTCAGCAACAATCTCTGGCTTAAGCTTTATAAAAAAGTATATGGCGTCCAAATTCCATGCTCTTATGTGGGGGTTAAGTTTGAATCGTTAATGCAGCTTGGTTTGTTTTTATAGGAAAGTAGGTTTTTTGTTTTATTATTAGTATAATTACTATTGGTTATAAGTGTTGATTACAAGTAGACAAATAAGCTTATTAATCTTTTAATTTGTGATATGTTGTATTTTTTGCCATTGGAAGCTGAGCAAATTTTACTTAAATTGTTTAAATCCCCTATTAAGCTTAATTTGTTACCAAAAATTATTTCGCTTTGCCATCATATGAGTATTAAATCTGCAATCGTCAGACCCTTTTGTAGAATAAGTGTTAATCTAAGGTTTTATTTTAGCTATTCCAACAACTTAACATTCACAACTTTTTAAAAATTAACTTATTTTTAATGCACTTTACAGATAATAAAAAAATACTAAAGGGTTTTCGAAAAACAAATTTTTCTTTAAGCTTTTGAAAATATTAAAATGTCTAATGTATACGTTTTTAATAAAAACATTAAGATTAATTTAATTTCAAATAATAAATATATATGTATGTAATTTAAATTTAGCGTTCTTTCCGTAGAGTTTGAAACACACCACATAAGTAATAGAAGGAAAAATAATGGGGGACTCATTGAAAGTTATATATATATATTTTTTTTTTGTAATTGAAGCTAGTCTTCAATTAAGACTATATCTAATTATCAGCTCGATACTAAATATTCAACCAACTAATCAAGCCATTTGAAAACAATAGCATATTCTGGAGTTCAAATGAATGACATTATATTAAGTCAAAAATTGATTTCTAGTGTACATTTATTAAACACAACTTTTTGAAATATCGTTGAGAAATTCTTCGATGGCATCTAAGTCGGAAAAGAAAATACAACGGTAGTAGTACATTAAAGTAATCTAAATAAATTTGATAAATACATTTCTCTCATCAACATTAACTACAGCTTTCAATTTTGAATCATACTTCAGACTCTCACATCACACTACTTCACTTCCCTTTCCAATAAATATCAGCAATTTGCATAAATCCCTTCTTTATATA